AACTTGATGGTTGCTGGAAGAGTCAAAGTCTATCCTTTGTAGGAAGGGCAACTTTTGCCAAATCCGTCATTGGTGCAATTCCAAATTTTCATATGCAAAACGGGCTACTACCTGTTACCTTATGTGATGAAATAGAGCAGCTCCAACGTTCATTCATATAGGGTAGTAGAAATGCCCATCTGGTAGCTTGGGATTCTTTGTATAAACCAAAGGAGTTAGGGGGTTTGGGTCTTACTAATCTTCGTGCCTAGAATAAGGCCTACATGCACAAATTAGATTGGAAAATTCTCACCGAAAAAGAGAAACTGTGGGTTAGAATTCTTATAGCAAAGTATGGTATAAGAAGGGACTTAAGGCGAGGAATCACTGCTAAAACTTATGACTCAAAGCTTTGGCGTGATCTTAGCAAGTGTTGTGACTATTTCCTAGAAGGTCTTCGTTGGTGAAACTATTAGTTTCTAGAAAAATAACTAGTTACGTTTGGATGATTGTCTTAGCTCTATATCTCAGACTATGGTTCTTGCGCTAGATCTGCATAAAACTTTAGTAGAGGTTGCCCCCCAAGGGGTTTGGGATACTCGGTATATCAATCAGTTTCTTAGTGAAGATTTAGCAGCTAAGGTAACATCCTTCCCTATTCATTTGTTGAATAATATTAATGACAAGTTAGTATGGCAACAGAATCATGTATCAGCATCGCTGGTTAAGGTTGCTTATAAAAGTTTGATGAAGTTTCCTCTTACCAATAATAATGCGTACTGGAAGAAGATATGGAATTGGAAAGGTCTGGAGAGAATTAAAACTATGATGTGGCTGACTTTGCTCAACAAGCTCTCTGTGAGAAGTATAACTTGTAATTGGAATGGAGGTCCTAATGCCTGTAACAGTTGTCCCAATAAGGAAGAGAACCTTATCCATGTGCTTCATGATTGCTTTCATGCACGAAGTATTTTGAATGACTGGCTCTGGAACCGTATGCCTTATGATTTTTTCAATCTAGACATTCATGATTGGCTTTACAAGAACTTGAATTATTACTGGAACTTGCAGGCATTTTCAGATTGGAGAGATACTTTCTTCATCACATGTTGGTATTTGTGGACCTGGCGTAATCAAAGTATCCATGATGAAAACTTTCGTAGGCCACAAAAAGGTAAGATTGTGATTTCAAACTTTATCTCTCACATATAAGTAGCTAAGAAGATGACGAAAAGCATTCTTGGGAATATAGCCACAATCCATCAATCCAGCCACTGGCAGCCTCCTCGTCCAGGGTGGTTGAAGATCAACACAGATGGAGCTTCATCTTCCTCAAGGAAGCAAGCTAGTTATGGTAGGCTCATTAGAGATCTCAATGGAGACTTTCTAGGAGGATTTACATTTGGCATTGGGTATTGTAATCCTTTAGATGCAGAGCTCTGAGGGATTCGTAAAGGTTTGGAGCTGACTTGGGGAATGAGTGCAAGGAGAGTAGAGTTGGAATGTGACGCAGTGAATGCTATTTTTGCTATACAAGACGCTCAAAACAATCCCAGACATTCCCAGGTTGTTTTCCATATTCAGAAATGGCTTTCAATGGATTGAATTGTGATATGCAGTCATACTAGGAGGGAGAACAGTACTTGTGCCCACTGGCTAGCAACGACACCTCTTGATGGTCAGAGGAATTTTAGTTTTATTCACAATCCCTTTCCCTACTTTTGGAGCTCCTGACTAAGGACGCTTCTCACTGTCACTCTTCATCTACTATTTTGTAGTTGTTTCTTTTTGGGCTTTGCCCCTCCTTCATTACAAAATAAATTAATAAATTAATATTTAGATGACATGACTTTTGAAGGAAACCAAACACTAAAGATATCATATAATCATGAAATGGGAACCATAAAATTAGTAGAATATGATGATTACATATAAAGAAAACTACCTATTGACATTTTCTTCTCATTTCTTCATTTAAATACACATAATATTTTGAAACAAGGAGGAAACACTCAAGGACGAAAGTGAGACAGATAAGATACCAGTGCTCGATGATGTTGGTGTTCTTGATTGTCAGAGTGTGAACACTCAAGACCCACATGCAAGGGGCTTCGAAGAAGAAAATTGGAAAATGAAACCTTTGGAATGAGTGAAAAATTTGGAACCCCGGACTCTATTCTCTGTTTATTGTTTTTTTGATTTTAAGGGTAGTTGTGATATTTTTTAATAGGTTAACTTTAATTTTGGTTGGAAAATGAAGATAAAGGTGTAAATGATTAAAAATTTAGATAGGAGTGTAAATGATAAAAAATTCGGGAAGGGAGTAAGTGATTATGAGAAAACTTACAGGGGGTAATTGAAGTTTTCCCTTTATTCAGTGCTCCAATGTTACAATCACTACATTGCTTTAACGCAAAATTTTGTTTGAAGTGGTCTAACATCTATCTATGGGATTAATATTTATGATGTTATAACATATAATTTTATATCCTATAAACACATAAAAATATCTGAGGTATATGTTTTATTTTTCTCTCTCTTCTATTCATATAGCTCTATATAGACCCAAGGTATACACTTTTACGTGTAGGAGATAAAATTCTCTCTTACATCATGAGAAATATTTATTCCTTCATTTATTAAAGAAAAAGAAAAGGGGAATAAAAAACATAGGCCACGGTTGGAAGATTTGCCAACACCCAATGGGTGCAGCTCAGTTGGTTCCTTGACGCTGAGTTAGTGGGATTGGACATGTATTCGATTCTCGCTGAATACATTTTTGGGGAGGGGGCTGAACCTTTAGCCATCACTAACTCCCGCACTCCGGATTAGTCCCGACTCAAAGAGTCGAAGCTTGTGGGGATACCGGAGGGAGAAAAAGATTTGCCAACAGATGCTCCTCAAAACTTTTTTTTTTCATTTGAATATCGTAATTTCTTTTTATCTTATGGACACTGGATGATTTTCTATATCCAGTGTTTTGAAAACTGATTAAATTTATTAAACTGTTTATTAGGATTCATATTGGTGCAGGTTAATTCTTAAAACTGTTTAGTTATGCGTACTGATACGAGCATGTTTTAATTTACTTCTTGTGCGTGCTACTATTTCCATTTGACTATAACATAAATGTGCACAACAAGGAATCATCAATTCTTTTCCAATAATGTTGTGACAGAAAGATCATTGGGATGACTGATATGAAGCCACGTTGAATGACTCCATTGAAGCTTGTGATAAAAAGAGGAGTGTTAATTTTATGATTTCCCAAATTTGATTGTGTATTGATGTAGTCACGGCATGATATGTTATTCAAGTATAATTATTGTGCAAATAAAAAATTTCATGAAATTTTTTTTTTTTTTTTTTTTGAAGTTACCCAACCCTAATTATCTCTTTGAGACGAGTTGGCTCCCTCCGGTATTCCCACGAGCTTCGACTCTTTGAGCCGGCTATGGAACTAATCCGGAGTGCGGGGGAACAGTGATGGCTAAAGGTTCAGCCCCCTCCCCAAGAATGCATTTAGCGGGAATCAAACACATCTAACCCCACTAACTCAGCGCCAAGTTACCAACTGATCTGCACTCATTGGATAAATTTCATGAAATTCTTAATGCCATGGAAATATTTTTTTAAAATAATTATTATGTAAATAATATTTTTTATTATGATATTACATTAATAAATTTATTAAATGCATGATGATATTTTCTCCATAAATAAAAGTTAAAAGAATCATTATTCATTATTTTAAAATTGAGAGAAAATTAAAGAAAAAAGAGGTTTTAAAAATTTTGAATCGGAAAAACAGACAGATGATATTTTAAATAATTTATTCAAATATAAATTTTTGAATATTTAATTTAATTTAAAAGCATCTATAGTTCTTCTAAACAACAACAGGAGATGTTATATTTACCAGAAACTATTACCTCTCTTGTAACCGTTAGATAAAATCAAATCATGTTTTCATTTGATATAAATTATTTTCCAGTATCTTCCATAATTTCTTTCATTTTCTCTCAATTTTTTTTTATCACTACCATGTCTTAACTTTTCATTTTCACTAATCAACGGTTATTATTTTCACAAATCAAACTCATTAATTATATTTATTTATAATAAATGATAATCGTTAATTGACAAAAATAACAGTAAGATATGATAGTAACATACTAACATTGGTCAGTGATATTATTTGGTAATAACGATATCCTATCCCATGATAAATATATCCCTTCAATACCCAAAGTAATTATTAATTTTATTTATTAAATTAAGGGAGAGATCCACTTATCACCAGATAAGTTTATTATTTCTTACTATCAATTTTTAATCATTAATTTTTATCAATCTGACGGTTATAATTTATTGAATAACAAATATTAATTAATTATAACTGTTAGATTAGCAAAAATCAACTATTAAAATTTGACGACAAAAGATGATAAACTTAGGGTGTGTTTGGTATGCCAGTTTTATTTTGTTGCCTAGAAAAATTCACATGAAATTCAAAGAAAACCATGTTTGGTAGGGTATTTAAAAAATTTGGCTAAGGTTTTAATTTGCATGAGAATATGACATTAGGTGTAAAATTTTATCTAGATTACCACTTGAGAATATCACCCAGATGGTGATATTTTGATTTAGCTGGGAAACAAAAATTGGGAAGTGAAATTTGGATACAAATATTCCTGAAATAATGTGTCAAAATTTAATAGGCAATGGTTACTTTGGTAATTTCGACCAATTTTTTCAGTAATATTTTACCTTCAATTAAATATTGATTCAGGAAATTTAAACCAATTTTTTCGATCATATTTTTACCTACAAAATAAATTTTTTTAACTTTCTCCAAAATCTTATTTTCGTACCATAATCCCAGTAATTATAATTTTCTGATAAAAAAAATTTTAAACGCTGTTTAGAGTTAAGTATGTACAAACCAAAAGGATGGTATACATAATCACCGGTAACAGCAACGCAATCAACCATTCATTTGGATTGAGAGGCCCCACTGAAGTCACCGATTGTGTTGTACTATTTCTCATTTCTTTAAAGGGGTTTTCTTTCTTCTTACAGTTCCTTCCTCTCACTCACTCTCTCACTCTTCCTTTCTATTCAATCAGATTTAGGTTTGAACTCTGCAAACTCTTTCTCTTCCCCTTTCTCTCTGATAATTCCAAACTTTAATTATCTCTCTGCGTTTGTTGCAGCTATTTTCATTGTTCCTTCCTTCTCTTATGGCTTCTAATTCGCAAAAGGATTTACCCCCCGCTGGTATGTATATCATTGTTTTTTGTGCCCTATTTATCTATGTAATTATATTATTACTAAAAGCATAAGCAAAAGCTTGGAATTCAGTATGTAAACGCTTTGGTCAATAGGATCTCTGGTATTTTTGTCTCTGTGCTTGTGTAGAACATGCTTGATGTACATCAAAATTAGAATATGAGTTTGATATCAAGAGATAGTGTCCTGGAAATTCGAAAATTAGGGATAGGATTTATTCGAAATGAAGGTCAATTATATGTTGCGTTGCATAATTTGAGATGGAAGAAAGAGAGAAGTTAAGAATGATGAGGTTACGAGGAATATATATATATATATAAACAAAATGTATTTGAAAACGGAAAATTCAAAGCATGTCTTAGTGAATCTCATGTAAGAGGTTAAAAATAAGTTCTCCTCGTAAAACCCGGTGTGGATGACATTTTTTTTTTTTTTTTTTTGATGTGTTAGTAATTTAGTACAAAAAATTAGTAATATCATTATTGATGCTTTTATTATTGTTCTTAGCATTATATATAGCGTCCTGTAACCTGTGCTGTAGATGCACAGGTTGAAAAGAATTTAAATGTTATTGATTTCTGTGAAATACACTCTTCTCATAGCAAATTAATTGCAGTTTTTAAAATAAATACATAAGTCAGCATTTGATAATGACTAATATTTTATAATATTCAAAATTATTTTTAATTTAGAAACACCAATGCAACTGCCGATGCATCTATTATACAGAAAGCTTTACTTAGTCCTTGACATATGCTGTTAATGAACCCTTGCATAAACTTAAATATTGCACTTATTATCATAAATTTTGTCACGATAGTTTACAGAGCCTGGTGTTCATTTCTTTGGGATCTGCTTTGAGTACCTTTACTTGTAGAACAAGCCACTATTTGAAGGTTTTATTTCAGTATTTTGGTATCTGATTATTGGTGCTTTCTTTTGTTGATTTATTACTGGGTTGTTTTTACTTTTCCCCCATCATTTGTATGCTTTAGTGCTTGTAATGTTAACAAGTTGCTTTAGATTCTTGAATCTTGAAAGTGCCTTAGTTTCACACTTGTTAAGATTTTTTCAGATGATAAGGCTGGTACTGCAGAGAGTAAAAATTCCAAAGATGAAACGTCTTCTAAAGATTCGCAGGCAGGAGAAGGAGCTGCTTCTGGACCTGCAACTGGGTTTCCAGCCAACCCTTTTGATTTCTCAGCAATGTCTGGTTTGATCAATGTATATCGTTGTCTCCTTTCTTTGCATATTTGTATGGTATATATGATATGATATGATGTCTTCTGTATTTATTATTAATATTTAGGTCATGTTAATTGTTAATAATGTTGAGTATGTTTGCATGCGCTTTATGAGCATTTACTGTCTTGCAGAGTATTATTTTTGTACACATGTTTTTCCAAGTCTTAGTGGTGCACTGGATTTCAAGCCTATGGTTAAACAACGATGCCAGGATTTGTGAGGAGTAAAATTCTGAATTTTTTCAGAGATCTTCACTGTTGGCAGTGAGCCTTCATTAGGAATTCAGTTGTCTTCTCTTTCAAAGCTTTCCGCTGTATGAAAGTAGAGAAGTGAACCTTTCATAGTTGTTGCCATGTTGGAATTGTCGATAAGATTGTGGCATATAGTTTGAATTTTTTTTTTATTTTTTAGGAAAGAAAATTTTCATTAAGGCAAAGGAAAGATTAATACAAAGGGTTAGGACAATAATACATCCTTATAATAAAAGAAAATAAAACAAAAATGTCATGGAAAACACAATTGAAGTTAAGCTCCCCAATCCCTCAACATATCAATAACGGAAATCCCTTTAAAAAGACCATGCCTTTTACATTTTTATGTAGAAGCCAATTGCCTAATCTTATCTCAAAGTAGCTGCTCATCCAAAGAATTATCCTTAAAGATAGTTCAATTAAATGTACCGAAGTTTAACAGGTTTCACATAGCCACAAAAATTATGCTTTTCTACTTCTACCAAAACTAGTGAAGCTCGTCATCAAAATATGGTCCAAGGACCTAGGGCACGCCCAACATTCTCCAAAAGTTACGAACAAAAAATTCCATAAAGAAACCAAAGAACATTGTAAGAACAGAAGAGAAACTGATTCTAGGCTTGGATCACACATATGATAACACACATATTAGCGGAAATGGCCAAATGTGGCCTACGCACTTGCAACATGTCATTGTTGTTAATTCTATCAGGCACTGCAGTCAAAATAAAAGATTTGACTTAATGGGAACTATGTAATTCTGAAGAAGTTTGTAAAGATGAAATTTTACTCTATTCAATTAATGAGTTTTGAAATTGAAAAAAAGTTTGCATGAAAGTACTCCGCAAGGATCAAATGACAGATAGTTTGATTTCTTATAGTTGCTATCTTGTAAATTTAGAATGAATAATTGTGTAAATATTGTAGATTTGTTTTTCTCTTTTATTGACTGTTTATGAGAGGACAGGTTATAGCAAAGATATATGGGTGTGTGATTTGTTTCGTATTTTTTTCTTTATAATCGATTAGCTTTTTACTAGGAAAGTGATTACCTACATTAGTTATATTAGGTAAACCTCTGTACATGAACTATTAAGTAATAATGTTCAGACTGAGAATTTCTCATATTTCAACATATCTTATTAATCTTTTGTCTAGTTAATAATTGAAATCCATTGAAGAATTTAAATGAGAAGTATTTGATGGCTGTTAGAACTATAATAATATACAAATATAAAATCATTCATCTATCTTCACTTAACAACTTTAGTTTTTGGTAGAGTTGGTTGAATGACATGGTATCAACGCCTCTATGACCAAGTAGTCCTTGTCGCCCCTATTCTTCTAATAAATATGATGTAATTTCTTAACAAAGTGGGTGAGCCTATGCATTATCCACCTTTCAAGCCCATTGGGCTCTTTTGTGACAGGGGTGTGTTAGAACTTTTATATAAAAAATATAAAACTATTCATTTAACTTCATCTAACACCTTAAGCTTTTGGGAGAGTTGGTTGCTTGATAGTGGCTTTTGAATTTGTCATATGATCATATGATTTGACATGAGTCTTCCCTCTTTCATTTTTCTCGCATATGGGAATGTCATTTGTCAGAAGTTTGGAGTCGATTGTGAATTTGTAATCAATATTGATTTTTGTTGATATAGGCTTACTAATACTTAAATGTGGAATGCGTAGGATCCAAGTATCAAGGATTTGGCTGAGCAGATAGCAAAAGATCCATCGTTCAATCAGATGGCTGAGCAGCTTCAGAAAACTTTTCAAGGAGCTACACCAGATGGTATCCCTAACTTTGATAATCAGCAATATCTTTCAACCATGCAACAGGTTATGCAGAATCCTAATTTTATGACCATGGCTGAGCGCCTGGGTAATGCATTGATGCAGGTATTTATAAAATCTTTCCATTTTATTTCTGTTACAAGAAATTTCTACTGGTTGATAAAATGGATATGCTCTCTATCACAGGATCCATCTATGTCTGCCATGCTTGAAGGTTTTGCTAATCCATCAAATAAAGATCAGCTTGAAGAGAGAATGGCACGCATCAAGGAAGATCCATCTTTGAAACATATTTTAGATGAGATAGAGACTGGTGGTCCTTCTGCTATGATGAGGTTTAGATGCTAATTTTTTTTTTTTAGTTATCCTTTACAGTCTTGACATTTCCATATTTCCCCCATAATATGTTGCTGTATTAAATATGGATATACTTTCTGAAGTGATACTTTTCATGCAGATACTGGAATGATGAGGAGGTTTTGCAGAAGTTGGGACAAGCCATGGGCGTTGCAAATTCTGGAGATGCTACTGCTTCTGCTGAAAAATCTGGACTAGATGAGACAGAGTTGGGAAATGAAGATGAATCAATTGTTCATCGTACTGCTAGTGTTGGTGATGTGGAGGTACAACATATCACTTTTTGTATACATGCATTTGCTTATAAACCTTTTTTTTCCTTTTGACAGACATTGTGAATTTTTGGTTATGATTGAAGTTATTTGAGATGAAACAGTGAAAGACAAATTCTGTAGATATGCAGATGCGGGACATTTTTAGGTAGAAGGTTCTGATGTGGAATACACGAATTATATTGAGTTCATAGGGAATTTGAAGCAATGAAACCAGACTTGGAGTGTAATGAGTTAACAATTGGAATTGAAACTCTTGGATTCTATATGGATTGTCTAATACGTTATGTCTAGTTGAGTCACAATCAAGTAAATGAGTTTTCCAACTAGCATTCTATATTGGGATGAATTTTCAAATTAGGATTCAGTAACTACTGGTTTAGCTTTGGAGAGTACCTGTTTCCTCTAATAAATTAGTAACACATTTTCTTCAGATGAAGAAAAAATCCTTAGTTTGATCCGGCCACTTCTATGTCCCAAAAATTATAATCTTACCAAGGTCCTTGGCATGGAAATGCTGACCTAAATAGCTTTTGAGGTTTAAAATACCCTTCTAGTCATCACCTGTGATAACAATATGATCCACGAAGACCACAAGTGTTATAGTAACACTATGTTGGTGCCTCTAAAAATATAATGATCTGTAAAGTCTTTTTGTCCCAAATTAGACACAGATTTCTAAAATTTTTGAACCCAACTATAGAAGATTATTTGAGACCACAAATAAACCTTTTAAACTGACTTAACTTCCTAGACTCCCATGAGCAACATATCAAAGAGGCTGATTTATTGTAGTGAAAAAAAACCATTCTTGGGCATGCAGCTAATAGCTTAAGCTTATTATAGGAGAATTGGTTCTTGACTTGGTATAAGAGGCTCCCATGAGTTTGATAATTGTTTAATTTCTAGAGCAGTTGCGAGAGATTTCATAAAAGGAGTGAAAGTGGGTTCAGATGTGCTAGTGATCTCTCATTTGAAGTTTGTTGTTGATAGTTGATACCATCTTGTTCTTATATGAGGATAGACATAGTTTTATGAAAGCACTCTCTGTTTTCAACTTTACATTACGGCTCTGGAAATCAGAAGTTGAAAACTACAGCAGTGGTGGGAATGGGGAAGGGAAAGATAGGAAAATGAATAAGAGAGGAACACTTTTATCCTTGAAAGTTTACAGAAAGATTACAAGAGGAGAACCTCTTCAAAGGGAAATGCTCCCTTCTCCCTGAGATTGACTCAGTCACTCACTAATTCTCTAACCTCTCTTAACAGAGGAGTGTAACCCCCGCCCTCCTTCTTTTCTTTTATACCAATGTATAAGCTTCACAAGGAAACTGCCCCGTCACTACTCCTAACTGTTTTTCAACTGTCACAACCATCATTCTACCTAACTTGGCCCCTAATTAAGGCTATATTACAATCCAATCCCAATCCCAATCGTAACACTTTATGAGATAACATCTGTGTTGAAATAATCTGTCCAAGAGTGGTTTAGCTGGTATTAGTGTAGATACTTGAATTCTCTTCTTTTCCTTTTATTGCTGGTTGTCAGATTTTGGTGTGGCCTCTTGTTTATTTGTGAGTCCATTTGGATGGTAGACCTATAGCTGGTTCTATTTGGGATCTAATTGTTTAAAAGATTAGTGCCTTGAAAATAGGATGGGAGCTTATTTTTTTTCGGGTGACACGTTACAGTTGTTGAGTCTTGTCTTTCCATAACGAGTCTCTACTACTTATTTTTGTTCCATATCATTGTGGGAGGAATCCAAACAATTGAGAAGATTATGATGTATTTTATATGGTCAGGTGTAGTGGAGAATAGACATGTTTATCTGGTGAATGGAGAGATTTATTGTTGTCCTAAGATGAAAAGGATTTGAACCTTACTCCCTTTGGTGTCAGATCACCGAGCTAAGTATGGTTTAATTGAAAATGGGTTGGAGATCAGTTCAGCAATCTGAGCTTCTCATATAAGTTCCCAGAAGTTTATGTTAGAGGGATATGCTTCCGTTAGCTATTTGCTTTCCTTGAAGGTAGGTAATGGTTCTCATGTTAAATTTTGGGAGGACCAATGGATAGGATAATGCTTGTTTAGAGATTCTTTCCTCTATTTTCTTAATTTAAATAATATGGAATTTTATGAATTAGAGTCTCTTTGAGTGTCATTAACACTATTCATTTTTCTTCTAATTTGGAACATAGGATTTAGTTTCTTCACCCTTCTGGGTTGTTTGCTTGCAAATTATTTTCCCAATTTCTAATTCATTCATTGAATAGAGCTGCTTTCTATCTGGCTAAACTCCTTTGGATGTCCAAAGTTCCCTCTAATGTCAAGTTCTTTATTGGGACAACGATTCTTTATAAAATTAACACTAGCGACTTTTTGCAATTTTGCCGGCCATATAAGGGTTCATTCTTGTGCTTGTTCAGAGTTAGTTCCTCATTTGTTCCTACATTGTTTTACTGCTTTCTCTTTATGGAAAAGGTTGTTCTGCTCTTTTGGTTAATAATGTGTTGTCCTAGGTCTTTAAACAATTTTTCAGTTGATTAGGTTTAGTGGGTTTGGCAGAAGTAAATAGGCTAAACTTTTATGGCAACATGCAATCCATGCTATTGTATGGTACATTTGGTTGGAGCATAAATAACACTTGTATTTTTAAGGACATTTCATTAGCTGAGCAGCTAATTGGGCAGCTTTTCTCCATAAGTGTTTTCTCTTTATTGCTGTGTTTTTATTATTCCCTTTTTTTGGTCTACGGGGATGCCTTATCCTCCAAATTCCTCCTTTTATTCAAAAAAATTGTCTTACTAGGTTTTGGAAAACAGGAAGTTTAGTAGTAAGTTGGGAAATCATTTCTAGAATTAGAAGGCTTAAAAACTTTTAAATTAGTCATACAAGAATCGCTTTTCAAACTAATGGAAATTAATCATTTATTATAGCAATTGCATGTCCTATACATGGGTTGTAATGCTTAATTTTCTTTTCTGAACTTTGAACGCATAGAAAAATAAACAGAATTAACATTTTTTATTTATCAAGTGTTGGTTTGATACTTTGATTGTTAACCTTCATGTAGCTAGTTCTCCAATAGTTAAATTCAGCCATTGTTTTTAATGTTTATGGTTATGATTTGAGGAAATATTTGAGAGCTGAAATTTTACACCAATCTATTAGGGCTTGAAAAATGCACTAGCCTCTGGTGCTGACAAGGATGAAGAAGATTTAGAGGGAAGAACCGCTTTGCATTTTGCCTGTGGATATGGAGAGGTATGCAACTATTCAGAGAAAATGCTTTTGTCATCTTTTAAACCTCTTCTTTGTTTCTTAGAATTTCTACTTATGTTGCTGGGTAGGGTTTTCTTTATAAACATGGTGAGAAGTAAATAAAGAACACATTAAGGCTCAAGATGTTATTCTTTACTAACGATTCAATAGCCTTGATTTTTTTCCCCACCATGGTGAACACGTATATATTTGCAATATCAAGCAGCCACTTTTACTTACAACAACTTTTTAAGGTTCATAGTAAGCATGGACTGTCTCATTCAACAATTGATTTTTTTTTTTTATGGTTTGGTGTAAAGATTTTGGTGAAAACAATGAGGCTAAAATTTTGTTGCTGTTTGGTGTTTGGCTATGTTGTAAATATATAGATTAGTTGGAAAAGGAGGAAAACAGACAAAGACTTTGAATTGTATGATATCGATTTAATTAGACTGATATTCAGATGTGATATAAGATACAGCAATGATACTTGTCCATAATTTATTCCTACAAAATCCTCAGACTCCCATGCAAGCCAGTGGAGTCCACATTGGAGTCTTCATACTTTATAAATACTAAGCTAATGTTCCTATTGATATGAATATTCTAGGTCATGTGCTTGGGTATGTGTACTAGTACCAGGCCAACCCAATAAGACTGTAGACATAACATGACTCCCTACTCATAAGTAACACTTATATTCTAAAAATCTTGTTTGGTGCATTTGGTTGGAATGGTGAACATTTTTATGGATGTCTCTTTGGTGTTCAGTTCATAGCTGTTTCAACTTTCAAGAGAGTTTCACATTTTGGTATGCTGAGAGATTGAACATTTGGTATTTTTGGCTCCTCAAATAAAATTTCTTTTCTATAAAAAACATTAGATTTGTTTAAGTTAATATAGATCAATCTAATTGGTTAGAACTTAGAATTACCTTTTGAGGAAGAAATATAAAGCACGATTTGGAGCAAGTAATTTCTAAGTTATATTTTCCCCATAATTTTAAAGCTGGGATTAGCATGAAAGTTTCCTTTTTCTTAAAAGCGATAATGAAATAAATTTAAAATTTTGTTTAATTTTTATCTTTGGAAATATCATCTAGGCCTTTTGAAAAAATTATAAGTGTCACCATTATTTTAAAATTGGATGTATAAATAATGAAGTTTCTTATTTTTGCCCGTGGGTGGTGGTTGTGAAGATAGCAGTGACAGTTGTATAAATACATTGGTAGTGATGGTGTAGGCAAAGGCATTGATGGCACTGGTGTTAATCACGGTGATAGTAGTAGTGGTGATGGTGAATAGTGGCAATGATGGGGTAAGGGAGAGTGGATGATGTTATTTTAGTTACTAGTTTTATCCAGCCCTCTCCCTTCAAGGGTGTCGTGCTATAAGCAACAAGAAAGATCATCAGAAATTAGAATTTTAGGACTCTAGCTTGGCTCTAACAAGAAAGTATGGCTGAAAAGATGCTCCTGATATCATTCCAGGTGAAGTGTGTGCAAGTTCTCCTCGAGGCTGGAGCAAAAGTCGATGCTTTGGATAAGAATAAGAACACAGCTCTTCATTATGCGGCTGGTTATGGCAGGAAGGAGTGTGTGGCCCTTCTTCTTGAAAATGGTGCTGCAGTGTAAGTATTCCTTTCAGCTTATTTGTTAGTATTCCTTTCAGCTTATTTGTTTTGAAAAGCTCCAAATGTTCTCATACGAATGCCTTCCTAAAGCATATAGTGGTTTGTGCTTAATTTGTTTTAATTATACATCGTTTATTCTTGTTTCCCTCGTTCAATTTGCAGTACCCTCCAGAATATGGACGGGAAAACTCCTATAGATGTTGCAAAGCTAAACAATCAAAATGATGTCCTGAAGCTGCTTGAGAAAGATGCTTTCCTCTAGTTTGAAAGGGCATGTTGGCATGCGGTCACCAACAAGTAAAAGGGGAGAGACGGGGGTGTAAAATGAGGCATGACTTTACTTATCTTCTGGTTTCTTCCAAGCGTTTAGTGTGTTAAACCATATTCCTTTGAAAGTGTGTTGGATGTCATTTCCCAGTAAATTTGTTATCTATGTGATTTATAATGCACGGATTGTTCTACAGCCTGTGCCATGATATAATTATTATATTTTATACTCAAATTATACAATAACTACATTGCTTCATTTCAAAATTATATTTCTAGTAGTCACACGTTTATCTGAAACACAAAGAAACAGGGGAGTCAAAAAATTTGGTTCATGGTTTTGAAAAGTTTGATCTAGTAGTCTAGGTTCCCGATTAATGCTCCTCATCTTGACTTTGTGTTTTCCCCCCTTTCGATATAGGTTGTCCAACGTGTTCCCTCTCACCCAACGTACTTCACATCACTTTTTTCTCCCTGTCCTATGGACATTGAATAACTCTATTCACTGTTTGAAAAATGGTTCAGTCGATCAAACTGCATCAAATTCCATGAGTCTAGGATAAATTCAAATTTATTTCGAAAGAATTAATATAACCGTGCAAAAACAAAACTAAGCAAGTCAAACATGAACTAAAATGAACATCTAATCCTATCTTCTTCCGGTTTATCTTTACACCAAATAAAAATAGTGGTTTTCACTTTCAAATTCTATAAAACTCGTGTCAATCACTTTCATTCCTCTCATTAGACCATCATTTCCTAATAATTGCTATACTTCACAAGTCACTTTAATTTTACAAAATTGATAACTTCCTAATATCACTTGTTATTGATCAATTTCTAGAAATTAATCACAATAAGAATTTAACATTATTTTTTTAAATAATAATGTAAAAGAGACACAACAACTACTTCCACACACCAAGCACTTATTGGATCAGACATAATTTCAAAAAAATTGCCAATGGAATAATTATTACATCAAATTTAAAACCATTTAGGTGTTGGTGCGCACACGATTTCAACAAAAAGAAAAATGACTATCATATCGTTTGTTTAGCAAAATAAATACAAATTGACTCAATGCAGTAACAAGTAATTGTTCCACCGTATGATCCCCTTAACCGGGTAAAAGTTCTGTGCTTCCAAGAAATGCAAAAGAATTCGGACCCAGTAAGCACGAAAACTAAGGATGAGGATGGCGACTCAACAAAGAATCACATTGAAAATTCACATCACGTCTTGAACTCTTTTGTCCCCCTCAACTTTGCAAAGAACTTGTTACAGAAATGCAAAAACAAATACTTTTTTCCTTTTTTCGATGGAGGGGGCATGGTAATATTTTGACTTTCCACTCTTTTTTTACTCTCTATTCTCTTCAAATCCAAGCAATTATAAGCTTTAATTACCTATGCCTAAGCAACAAAGGGGGAAAAAAACAAAAAAATCTATTCCTACAAAGTAGGAAAAGTGCTTCGAGGCTGTCTACAGCAAGACAACCAGAAATAAGCAACCAAGCAGCTTTCACATAAAAGCAGTTCGTCCACCTCTTCTGCTATGCCTATCATAAGCAGTATTGAATTTGTCGACAAGTTCATTCATTGCACTACAGGAAGACAGAGAAAAGAAAAAAGAACGTTAATAACATGGATATAAGGTTACACTACTGAGCTGAAATAGTGTTCACATTCCTTTGTCTTAAAAGATATATATGTGTGCATATCTTGAGAGACATATGGGGAATCATATGACGATACTGATCAACATTTTGTCTTAAAAGATATATGTGTGCATATTTTGGCCAGTCCTAACCCATCAACATTTTTCTACTCATTTTACCCAAATAGTATCCATGAGAAAAAGATTAAGGCCACAGAAATAAGGATGTTGCGAGGGATAAGTGGGCATCCTAGTGTGGATAAGATTAATGATGAGATCATGAGTGAAGGCTGTAATGCCTTGTATGTAGGAAAAAGTGGAAAAAGTATTTAAGATTGTTAGAGGGGGATCGAGGGAGAAGACTAAAAAGAAGGATTTACAGCAGATGGGGCTTCATGAATTTATGATGCAAGATTGAGCATAACGGCATACTAGAATACATTCAGATATAATTGAAGACTCTACTCAAACTTCCTCCCCTAGTAAGTACCACTGACTGAAGAAGCTTCTGATTGTCCTAGGGAATGTGTGCAGGTATAGGTAATGGGAGCAGAGTAAAATGGAAGAAAAACACTGCAATCTTGAAATATTATTCTACCAATTTGCTTCCATATATAACTATCAAAGATGGTCCCACCACATTTGAAAATCAAGATATTTTTGCTAAAAGAACACTTGGAGCTTTTTGGTTATAAAAAAAAGTTCAACCAAAATTACAGAAACAAAAAGAGACCGGACCAAGGCAACAATTGCAAGTATGCCATACCTTGAGCAGTTGGTCAGCATAGCAAGGTAACTAATCAATAAGGTGTCATTGTATTCCTACAAGAGAAGATATTGTAAGCTAAATAAATTTTCACATAAGCATTTATATTACCTTAATTCTAATATTAGGCTCACAACCCAGCTAAGATATTACATTGCAGCAACATGAAACCTTAACACAAACAACTATAATATTATTATATAGCAATAACAAACAAATTCCTTGTACAAAGTGTTCTTATAAAATTGTGCAGGTGTCTAATTCCTTTCAACAAATTAGATAGCACAATTACCATGAAGTACCATCGATTAGAAATTATTTTAGGCAAGTAATCAATTAGCTAGGCCTATATATTAGAATGAAATCATGTACTGTAATACAATTCAGAAATAATATTCAGTCCTTTTCCATTCAAGAAGAGCAAAACCCTTAGAAGCCAATCGCCATTTCATTCGAGAAAAGATTTAACAAGGACTTGTACCCACTGGACATGTCAGAACTAGAGACCAGATAGCAAACATCTTCAGTAAGCACTTAATGGGAACAAGGTTGACAACTTTTGAAACAAGTTGGGCATGATTAACATTGATGATTTAGCTTGTGGTAGAGTGTTCACAGTTAACTGTATACCCACATTATTAATGTGCGGAGGATATTTACATCCTCTGTACTATATTGTACTACATTGTACTGCTAACCTAATTTACTCAATATAAATAAAGACCTGCACCCACATAGGATTCAGTATTTCCAAATATCTCTATATTTTATAATTAGGAACCCACAAGCCCACTCTCTAGCTGCAAGAAAAGTGATTTATCACAGTTCATGATGTATGCACAAATAGTTCCAAATAAACAAATCACAAAAACCATACACAGGAGGAACCGATCATAAGACACTCCTTTCCCATCACTAGCAAAAGCTAATTTTCAGAGTGATTGAACAAACTCACCATTAAGAAATCATCTTGAAATTTCCCAGATTCAATAGCAGGCAATCTTCTCAGGAGACTTGACACTTGTCTTAATAGTGAATTCTCACAAGGAACATCGCCTGCTTTTACACAAAGGTTCAGTAGATATTATTTCAGGGTTTCAATATATGTACGCCACTTATATTTATGGTTGAAGCAGGAAATGGAAATACTGCCCACAGAATCACCGAACACCTATTTATCTGTTTTGAAACTGTGATTTGGATAAATATAAACATAAATACTTATAACCACACCTTGCAGCTGAAGCTGGATTTATGACTTAGGGCCCATTTGTTTGTGTGTTTTTCTTTCTTTAAGATAAAAGAAACTTATTATTTAAAATATATTTCTAAATTTTTTTAATATAAAGTTTAGAGGGAAAAAAGCAGTTTTGGTACATTTCTCATAAGTTAAAAAGTGTGGCTCATGAAAAAAGTTCTACAAAAATGTATATAGAAGTGGGTTTTTTTTTTTCAAAGTTTAAAAAACTCATTGAGTGCTCATCAATACTGTTACAAAATATATAATATAAAACTATTCATGTTACTTCACCTAACAACTTAAACATTTGGGAGAGTTGGTTCATAACATGGTATCAAAGCTTCTATGACCAAGTGGTCTAGAGTGTATATCATAACTGAGGAAATAGTAGGCATGTGCGAAGATAGATGGCAGATAGATGTAAAGAAAATTCTACTAGTACTGTGACTTCAGCTATCATCAATCTATTAGGGTTTTCTATCAGAATCTTATCTCAAACTTGTTGAGCTTGTTATTAAATGTAAAGATTTGTTAGAGAATAATATAAACCATTAAAAAGGCCCTCACCCAATACCTTAAGGTTTTGAGTTAAATTGGTTCTTAACATGGTATCAGAGCTTTAGTGACCATAAGGTCACGAGTACAATCCTCACTGCCCCCCACTTGTGGAGTTAAAATAAACACAAGGTAAAACCAAAAATTAAGCCTGTGTAATGTCCACGTTTCAAGCCCAAAGGGCTCTTGCATGAGAGTGTGTGTTAGAGAATAATATAAACCATTAAAAAGGCTCTCACCCAACACCTTAAGGTTTTAGGTTGAATTGGTTCTTTACATTTTATGTTAGAGAATAATATAAACCATTAAAAAGACCTTCACCCAACACCTTAAGGTTTTGGGTTGAAGTGGTTATTAACATAGTATCAGAGCTTCAGTGACCACAAGGTCACAAGTTCGATCCTCACTGCCCTCCACTTGTGGAATTAAAATATACACAAGGTAAAACCAAAAATTGAGCCTGTGTAATATCCAAGCTTCAAGCCCAAGGGGCTCTTGCGTGAGGAGGTGTGTTAGAGAATAATATACACTATTAAAAAGATCTTCACCCAACACCTTAAGGTTTTCGGTTGAAGTGATTCTTAACAAGATTTTATTTGAAAGTCACGTCTTCACAATAACAGAAAAATAACTCTAAATACAAAAATCTGTCACACATGTAACTATTATTACGCATATAATTCATTCTCGCTTTTATTTAACTGTTTAAACATTATGTATTAGTAAAGGAATAGAAACTTAAAAGGATTGGCATCTATGAAGCACAGACACTTCAAAAATCCTTACGTGTCGTGTCCGACACTTCTCGACAATCCTCGACACTCCAACACGCGTTATAAAAATTCAAAAAAAGGTTCAAAGGTTGCGTTGCATTGAGTTTTTAGTTCTAACTGTTAGATTCGTTGAATTACGATTTTCATCTTATTGAGTTTAATATAAATACTTGGAATATCTTATGTTTCTTTGCAAAATTGATGAATATTATAAGTTTAGTTTCATTTTTTTGCTAAATTATTGAATATCAAATATAATATACACTACATAAATTAAAAATATTATTTAATATCAAAGCGTGTCCTAACGTATCGAAATCTAACATTGTTTAGAATTAACGTGTCAGAGTGTCGTGTCGTATCGTGTCACGTGTCCTGTGTCAGTATCGGTGCTACATAGATTGGCGTTCGTTCACAAATCAAAAGAATAATATTGTTGATAAAACTGGAAAGATTTCTAATAACAAACAGTATCTCATCATTAAATGCTAGTTTTGCAGAAAGGATACCCTCGTACCTTTTTGCATTGCAAGAAGATAGTGATGTAGCACCTTTATTCTGCTATGAAGCATTTTGATGGCACTGTGTATACCAGTAAGGTGAGCAGCCACTGCAAAAATAAAACATTATTTAATTAGATACAACTACAAAAACCAAACCTCATCCCACCAGGTAGAGTCAGCTGCATGCATTAATCAATACTCTAACAAGAAAACAAAATTCAGTAATCTAATGTCTTCCTCTACTCCTTTTAGTTTAAATATCTTCCAATTTAATCCATTTTTCTCACTGAAACCTTCATTGGTCTTTGTTGAACCATGTCCTGTAAGACTCACAAAATTTCATGTTGGCTGTTAACTGCCCAACATAACTCTCCCCCTTTATCCAAACTTTTGCACGCTATGTAAAGTTCAATAAAATAATACAACATAGGCATCATAAAAACAGAAACCAAAATTGTTTCCCTTCTCCAAAAATAGCTTAATGAAGAGAGTAATGCCATAATGGAAAGAAGAGTCAAGAAAAGCACTCACATTGCGTAGCTGCTGAACCACCATCAGATGGCTTAAGATGAGCAACATGATCAACTGAGATCCGTTCTGCTTCAACAGTCTTCAGCAGAGCAAGAGGAGAAGGGGCCACATCAGTCAATTTATTGAGCAACAGTGTTTTAGAATGTGAAAAAGAAAGGCAGCAATCATAAAAACCCAACCTCAATAGTATAGCTTGAGTGAACAAAGATAAGCTGTGGAATCCCGTCTATGACATGCAGTTCTGTAGTTGTAATAGCAAGCACCAGCAATAACACAGAATTCATTTCCTCAGTACAATAAGCATGTAAAAAGACAATAAAAAAAATGACCAAAATATATACCCCAAAAAAAAAACAAGGTTCTGCTTTTGAAGGAATAGATCCGGAAAGTTCAAATTAAAAAATAAATAGAAACCAACACAATGCTGACTGGTAGATTGGAGATTGCGAAAATAAGTAGAATGATCGCACAGTAAATAACACAATAATGGAACTACCCAAAAAAAAACACAATGATGGAGATTGGAGATTACATACCACTTTCATAAATGCTGACTGGGAGATCCTTCTGAGAGTGATTGATTGAAGGATTGAGAAGAACATAAACCGGACTTTCATTGATATCCATCAACTGTTAAAGCAGAGTATCAGATAGAATCAGAAATTAAAGTAACTTACAAAAGAGAGAGAGAGAGAGAGAGAGAGAGAGAGAGATTAAAGTAACTTGAATGCATTCTCATTCTGAATAATCACTGGAAGAGAATTTCAAATGATCAAAAGCACAAAAATGTAAATATATCAACAACAACATCAACATCAACTTTATCCCAGATTAATTGGGGTCTGTGGTAGATGAACCCAAATAAAAGATACCCAAATAAAATATTTACAAAAATGTAAATATATATGTAAACTAAATCTAAACCAGGAAAATGTCATCACCCTGTAGAAAATAGTAGAAAAAAAAAAAAAAAAAGGAAACTAGATTGAACTGTAACAATAGTGTGCACTAAGGTCTTATAATAGACCATAGAGACCCACTAAAGCACTATAGAAAACATATCAGAAGGAAAAACAAAATGGTCACTAGCTTAAGATAAATAAGGTAATCTCTTGCCAAGACGGTAAGAAATTTTAATTCTAGTTAACACCTTAGCATTAGCTGAATAAATATCTCACAGTGAGGATAGCAAATATATATATATATATATAGAATAAAGCCCATTTTGGGTCCCTAACAAAAAATACGATCCTCATTTTAGTCCCTTACAAAAAAAAATTAGTCATCTGGTCCTATGAAATTCAGATTGGATCCATTTTAGTCCTTTTGAGGGATTAATGTGGGTCTTTTTTGAATTTGTGAGGGACCACGATTTTAACTATTTAGGTCCACTATGAATTTCTTAGGATCCTCAGGACTATTTGTTTTTTTGTAAGGGACTAAAGTGGGGAGCCGAATTTTTTATTAGGGATCCAAAAGGGGCTTTACTCATATATATATATATATATATATATATATATATATATATATATATAAATATATATATATTATCTCACAATGCAGAACCACTGCAACACATTAGTGTTATCACTTTCATTTCATCGATACTAACTCCAACAAGCATTCCTTATGTTAACATTGCCGCATCAAACATCTTGGAAACATATTTAAAACCCAAACAGTATTCATCTTCTCCAAACTAACATGACAAAGCAGATTGGTGCCAATGCCTTTTGAAGGCACCTAAAACTGCCCATGTTAAACACAAAATTGCATTAAGCATTTGACAGCTTCAAAAACAAAATATCCACTCAAAGCTTCAAACCAAAGACAAATACTCCCTCACCTACGACAAGATTATCAGCAAGAAATGCAACACAAAACAATATATAATAACATCCCTAAATGCAAATGACTGCAAACTCTTAAGCAACGGAACAAATTTGTGTGCCAAAAACAAAAAAGGAAAAGGAAGAAAAAACAATCATGGGTGTGCTTAAATTAAGACAAGGAGCAATAACGCAAACTTACAGCTTTGTGAATATGCATATCTGATTCCTCTGCATCACTCCCAGTCGAATACCATCCCAGTATGTAAAAATGAGGGAAAACCTTCTTATCTGAAAAATCAATCAGCTTCCAATAAAAACCAATAACCCAATTTTAAAAAAATAAAAATTAAAACATAACTTTGAGAGAGAGAGAGAGAGAGAGAGAGAGAGAGAGAAATTCTCATTTTAACCGAACTTGAGAATTTAACTTTGCATAAAAATTACAAATCAAACGATGCCACTGTTAGATCAAAATATTTTTCAAACCCCCAACAAAAAAAATAAAATTAAACATGGCACAAAAATTCAAACAAAAAACAAAAAGAAGAAAAAATAATAATTAGACAGAGAGATGGAATTGAAAAAGGAATACTGAACAGAGCTCTTGCTTCTTCTCGAGGAAAGGACGGTCGAGGGAATGTGTAGAAGGATCGTAGAGAAGCTCGAAGCTGTTGAAGATCTCGACGGTGCGACCCTTCTGCACCCCTATGACGCAACCGTAGACTCGCGGCGGCGGAAGGGAGGAAACGACGCCGTCACCGCCATTGGGTGTAGTGTTGTTGTGAGGTGCGTGGGTTGGGTTCATCTGAGACTTCACCCTCGTGTAATGGTCCGAGATGTTAACGATCACAAGAGGGTGCAGCTTGAATGTCAATCCGCTACTCGAAGAGGAAGCCATCGTCACAGAGAACCAAAGGATTGTGATGAATTTGGGGTTTTAGGGTTTAAAGCTTGAATGGGAATTAGGGTTTCTTCGGATTTCAGAATTTGTCCATGGAAGAGTTTAGTATACTATAGTACGTATCATATCATAGTGAACACGCCACTTCTCGTGAGTGTTATTCTTCTTTTCTTGTTATTGTGTTTGTGTATTGCTACGAGCCAAACATCAAACGAAGGAAGTTGCATTTATTAATGGCAAAAAACTTTCGAGGTATTACTTTAGATGATTTTATCTAATATTTATTGAAACGATGTCGTTTCGAGATTAAAAAATTAAAAAATTAAAGTGATAAAGACTATTATAACCCTGAAATAAATCAAAATTACAAAAATACCATGATTTCTATAATAAAACGATGTCGTTTTGATGAAGATTAGATAAAGTTATCTAAAATAAGATGATAAAAAACAAACCCTTTATTAATACTTATACTCACTCTCTCGTCTTTATCCTTTAACATAGGTTATATACTTATATTAAGAGTATAGTTACTGAATTAAAATAGGTTCAGAATTATATAAGAAAAAAAAAACGTATTTGAAAAGTAGGTTATAGAACAACTTTTACAATGTCATATCCTACATTGCACTTAGATCGACGTGAGACCTGATATGATACATCGATATATTAATTTTAAAAAATATTAAATTTTGACATGTTATGACACATTTTTTTATTAAATAATATTTTTAATATATAATATAGTTTCTATTTAATACATATAATAGCTCATAATAAGTTATATAATCAATCAAATATTTAAATTTCATAACATAAATATAAAAAAAAAAATCATTCCTTGTTAATTTTTCTCGTCAAATTTCATAACAAAAAATATTTAATTTATAAATTAATTTTTCATATTTAATTAAAATAAAATAAAATAAATTTGGATATAAAAAATAAAAAAAATAAAAACGTGTCAGAAACGTGGATCACGTGCCGGAAAATGTTAACTGCGTGTCGGAACGTGTCAGTATCCGACACGGACGCATTTTTTTTTCAAAGAAGATGTTCGTGCATCAGAGGTCATACTCATATCTATGGGTTGACAACCATTCTTTTGGTCATGTGTGGCAAAAATATTAATTATTTATCAAGGTGAAAATAATATCCATTAAAATGTCAAGTTTGAATCTCGTTATTGGGTTAATAGGATTCAATTTAGCCACGTGATAGGACATAATTTTTGTTGGCATCCTTTTGTCACATGGCTAAATAGTAGTCGTTTTTCTACTTGACATCTCAAATCCCCTAATTATGTTACCAAACTCAGCAAGACTCACGCGATATTACCATGTGACATAATTTTGTTCGTCTGTTCCACCTAACCCTTTCCTTCTTCCCTTATATGAACTCACTCCCACAACATCCTCATTCAATAACCCATACCCACCTGCCCCCCGGCATAAACGTAGTGGAAAGGGTCGAAGCCTAAGGTCTTGTGGTAGAAATACACCAAAGCATCGGGTTCGATTCCTGCCTCGATGTGCACATCCCGCGATTTACATCCTCCCAAGGTTTCTTAGGGCGTGGGCTTGAGGGGCGGCAGTGATGGGCCGTAATCCAGAAAATAAAAAGTAAACCCATTCCCACCTATATCTCTCTCTTCCCACACTCTAATTTTCCAATAATCAATATTGTTTCCCACGTATCCGAAATATAAGTTCAAATTTTGAATCTTTTATGGTGGTTGTATACCACGATAGTAGAAATTATTTTGGTCCTGAAGGTATGATTTTGTAAGGTGATTTAAGAATGATTTGTATTAGTTGTCAATGTAGCTACATTATTCTCAAGAAGACAATTAACAAGAAATTGGGGTTACAAGACAGCCAAATCATTTCTCGTTTGACGGCTAGACATGATGCTGTAGATGGGCAATTTATTGGTATGGAAGTTGTCGATGATGATGCTGTAATGTGGATGGAGGATGTACTTATGAGCCAGTTGTAGAGAAAATTCAAAAGTTGTATGTCGAAGTGAACTCTAGTGAACAACACTCTTTTATGAGTCTTCATTGCCTTTAATTCAATCAATAGATATTAATAAGCAGTCGTGGTTTAATAACGAAGATAGATATGTCTCCTCATTGACACCTCCACCTCCACCAATTCTAAGTTAAATCACATCCGAGGAAGAACAAGACGATCCTGTGTAGGTGGTGGATAATGATATGGATGAAGTAGACTTTACTTCTGGATACTGACTCATCAGATGATTTTGTTGTTGATCCATGTTCACCTAACATGGTGATGAATGTGGCAACGTGCCCTCAATAATGAGAGCATACTTAATGCTCCTCTAACACATAATATTCAGTGGGGCGGAGAAGTAAGAAAGAGATAAAAAGCTGATGAGAGAGGAGAGAGAAAAAAGATTAAAAATATTTTAAGGCAAATGTCAAAATTTCAATTGAAGGACCGTGATGGTCTAGGTGCACCATAAACTTTTTCCTCAACAATTTTCGATCATCGGGTGATTCAACTATACCACTTTATGTAAAAAGAATAAGTCGATAACAACTCATCGTGCTCATGCAAATCCTAAACCGATCTCTATGCACCATTGTTGTATAAAATAGGCCCGTCAAATATGCAAATCATCATCCCCTTTAACATGATGAGTTAGGGTCTATCCCAATCAAGATTGTGATAACCAACACCATGAGGTCCATGACCACCAGTCTTGCCAATAACGAGTTCACAATTTGTTGGAAGACCCAACAAAATAATGCACATCCTCTAGCCCAATCACGCACAGATGAGCAAATGATAAATCAAAAATACAATATAAATCATAAATTAAAATAATTAAAAAACTATTTTCTCATTAATATCAATAATTATAATAATTTGTTGATTATTATACAAACCTCTTGTGTTGAAGACGAGCAACGTATAAGGAATGCATAGTCAGCAGCTCATCGAACATTTATGATACAATCAGGTAACTCGTTCCATGCAAGTGTCGAGACAAGTTTGTCCTCTAAAGTCTCCACTAAGGTCACTCAGGCCAGGGTCAATACGATTATGGGGAATGCATATATAACTTGTGAGGAGATCCATTAGGAGATTAATAAGGAAACTCGAAAGGTGATGTCATATCCCTAATTCACAATAATTAGTAAATTAATCAATACAAAAATACAAATTAAATTATTAAATTAATTGCTACACTATTCAGTTATTTAATCTATTAGTGAGAGATATGACTATGACTTTTATCATGAAGCTTGGTCATAATCTTCTTACCAATCTTGAGGCTTTGTGGGTTAAAATCCTAAAATGAAATAATATATGGGCTCAAATTTTCTCCCTGAAACTAAGGCTTCAAAGAATAGTTCTGCTCTTTGGAGAGGTATTGTTCATTATTGGCCTCTTATCCTGAAACATGGTCGCATTCTTTTGGGAGATGGTGAGAGAACTTCCTTCTAGTTAGACTCGTGGCTTCCAGGGGTTGGTCTTCTTCTTGAGCAGGTTTTGGGTCAAGTCCCCAATGAGGCTATAAATCTTCAAGTTGCAGATTATGTTGATGAAGTTGGTCAATGAGCCTGGGATCAATTCCAATACTTGTTACCGGGTCATATCATTAGACGTATCATGAATATGGTGTCTCCCCTATCGATGGATAGCCAGGATCGAGTTATTTGGGGTGAATCTTCTGATGGACTTTTCTCCGTTCGAACAACATATAGGGTTCTTACTCACAATGAATCCACAAATATCAGCATTCCTTGGGAGTGTATTTGGAGATGGGATGGTCCAAAGAGAATTCAAATTTTTCTCTGGTTAGTATTGAGGAATAAGCTCATGACAAACTATAGAAGATTCCAGTGCATAATTTCATCAACCAAGATTTGTCCTAGATGCAACCTTGATAGAGAAACGATTTTGCATGCTATCAGGGACTGCAAAGTTTCCAGGGAGGTTTGGGAGTTACTTGTAGACCAAAACCAATTGCATGATTTTGTGAATTTGGATCTTCAAGAGTGGATTCTGCAAAATATCAACGGTGCCAATCGTTGGAGCTGTTATCCACAATGGCAGCTAACTTTCGGTATTACAACTTGGTTTTTATGGAAATACAGAAATGATTTTGTTTTTAATGGTTCGAGCTATAGTCCTTTGGGCATATTGCGCGCTGCTATGACTTATAAGGATAGTGTTCTATTGGCTAAAGATATGTTCTCGGTGACATGAGTGGAGTCGACAACTTGAACGGAGAAACTTATAGCTTGGTCATTTCCTCCTTTGAATTGCATTAAGATAAATGTTGATGGGGCTAGTTCAAATGATGGATTACATTCAGGCTGTGGTGTTGTCCTTCGAGATAGCTCGGGTTATTGGGTTATTGGTTTCTGTAAGAATCTGGGTAGCAGAACAGCTTTGAATGCAGAATTATAGGCCTTATTGGTGGGTCTAGAAGTAGCTTAGAGTAAAGTTTTAGAAATGTGTGGGTAGAAGGAGACTCTCAACTAGTTCAACAACTGGTCCTTACGGGGTGTAGCCAATCTCACCCATCTCCAGGTTTGATTAGTCGTACCAGGGAGCTTCTGGCCAAGGATTGGAATGCTACTATTTCTCATATCTATCGTGAAGGGAATGGAGTGGCCGATTGGCTAGCTACTTATGCTAGCAACTTCTCTTGGAATGTTCAGCTTCTAGATCTTCCACCTCATGAGTGTTTGCATCGTTTGCAGAGTAACTTATCGGGAACTCACTGGCCTAGGCTCTGTGCTTAGGTTGTTCTTTTTTATTTTTTCTTATCTGTTTTTATTTTTTCATCATGTATCCAAAAAAAATACTACACTAATTAATTACACTACACGCATAACCTAATTAATTAAATTAATATAATAAATTATTAACTATTAATTTACTAACATAACCTATTAATTATAATGTTCTATGTAGATACAAAATATGTTTTTATGAATTTACAAAAAAAAAAATATGTTTTTATGATAATAAAGAGGCAACAACAAAAAGAAGAGAATTGATCAAGAGGAAAAAGTATAAAACATGTGTATATATTGAAGATGCATATGGAGCCATACATGGATATTAATAACATATTAAAGTGGGAAGAACTCAAGTAGCTTTGAAGAAAACTTTCAATGAACCAAGAGCAATATG